TAAAGGCAGTTTTATATCTGTCTTTCTCAGCAATTTGTATTTGCCAGAAACCAGATTTCAAGTCGAATTTTGAAAATATCATGGCATTTTTTAATCTTTTGATTAGGTCTTGTTTGTTGGGGATGGGATATCGGATCCATTCCAAAACAGCATTCAAAGGTTTATAATTGATTACAAGCCTAGGAGTTCCTCTTTCTAACTCTGCATTTTTTACAACATAGAAAGCAGGACAAGACCAAGGAGATTTAGATTTCCTAATGATATTATTTTTAAGAAGTTCAGAAATTTCCTTTTTACAGATTTCCATGACTTCATGGTTCATTTGGATTGGCCTAGATTTAGTAGGGATCTGTTTTTCATTAAATGTTTTAATATAAGGAAGTTCGACTGTATGTTTTTTCCGTATGCCAGAAGGCTGTAGGAAGCATAGAGCAAACTTCATGTTCAAGTCTTTCTTTGAACTGATTAATTTTCTCATTTAAGATTGGACATTTTAGTTGTTCTAAAAGTCTTTTATGATCAATTTCTTGTTTAAGAAAATTTATCTGGCTAATTTTTTAAGGTACTTGGAAACAGATTCATCTTTAAGTTGCCTGAGTTCTTTTACTTCAGGTTTGAGTAGGAAATTAAAATTAACCTGTTGATTAAGAGGTCGGGTGATTAATCCTTCATTAGTTATCTGAAACGGGGTCAGAAGATAAATAAAGGGTAATCCTAAAATCACTTCATCAGTCATATCTTTTACTAAGACAAATGAGGTTTTAAAACAAACATTGTCATGGCAGATATGAGCTTTAGGTAATTTATATTCGACATTCATGTTTGTACCATTAGCTGATTTTAATTTTTGAATGGTTTTTTCATAATACTTGGTTGGGATAAGTCCTTCTTGCATGCAGTTTACATCTGCACCTGTATCAATAAGGGCTACTGTATTAATAATAAAATCATTTGCTATAATGATTTTGATTTGGAAATACCATTTTTGTAATTTAATTTCTTTGATAGAGTTAATTTGATTTTCTGTTTGTAGACACCCATCGTGAGATGGCAGCTTCGTTAAACCAGAGTTTTCCACATTGAAGGTGGAGGCTACGGGTATCCGCTGGGAAAGTGTCTTAGTTGAATTATCAGTTTTATCACTGTCAGATTGGTAATTATCTTGATGTTCTTGCTCAAGAGTGTCGGATAAAAGACTTAATTTTTCTGCCAAGAGTTTGTCTTGTGTCTTTAAATCTTTTATTTCAACTTTTAATTTATTAATTTCACTATAAAGATCTTGTAAGGTTAATTCTTTTTTCTTTTCCTTACTAAATCTTTCCATAGTTTTGTTAATACTAATTAAAGGTTTGTCTATTACAAGATGTTTGTTTTTTTCTGTTTTGACAAACAGATCCTTAAGATTTTTTATATATTTAGATTTTAATTGAGGTTCTTCAATTTTACTGATTAAGTCAATTAAAATTTGTTCTTCAGTTTGTTCAGTGATTACTCTCACTTTTTTACAACAATTGTCATTACATCCTAATTTAATATCAGGTTCGCTTGTCGTAGATGGTGTAGAAGAATCAAGGGAATTATCAGAATTGTCTGAGTTATCAGAATTGTCTGAGTCTGAGTCTTCCGGATTATGAAGTCTGAAGATTTTTAGGATTTCTTCAGTCTCTTCACTGGTTAGATTAAGTTTTTTAACCTCTTTTTTAATTGGGCAATCGGGACTTTTGTGACCCTTTTTCCCACAGTTATAACATGTGATAGTGTCTTTATTGGTATTTAACCATTTAGACATTTTCCCTGTTTTCTTAGGTTTTGGTTTAATAGGCTTTTTGGATTTTTTATAAAATTTAGGTTTAGTGAGTAAATCTTTATTATTTTGATAATAAGATTTATTTTTTGAATATGACCTATGTTTTTTATGGGATTTGTGCTTAAGTTTTTTAGAGGTTGATGGTGCTACTGGAGGGAGACCATATTGTTCACAAAAATTCCCCATTTCATATTTGGCTTTCTTTTTATCGTTTTGTAATTGTCTACTGATCTTAAGATCAATACACATCCTAAGTCCTTCCTTTTGGATAGTACTAACCAGTTTATTGATTTTAGAAATAGGTTCACTTAAACTTATGTTAGTGAACTGTTTTTTCAAGATTTTAATATCTTCCTCAGATGAAGATATGGAAGTTTCAGTTTCAGTTTCAGAATTTTTGTTAATTACAGTTACTTGAGAGGTTTGTGATGTTTCAGCTTGAGCATCTAATTTCTTAATTAGCTGATCAATCTTTGCAATCCTAAGCTGATCTGGAAGTCCTAGTTTGGTCCTATCTTCTGGTAGGGTTACTAGAGGTTTTTCTAATTTCTTTGGGAAAATAGGTATTTTTTCAATTTTGTTTTCAATTTTATCTAATTGTTGGCCTAAAACAATTAAGCTTTGATTAGTAAAATTGTTTTGTTCAATTACTCTCTTCTGAAATTTGTCTAAAGCCGCTTGTTCTGTTGATGCCTTAGTATTTTCAGGAGGAGGAATCTTAAATGGTGAAGCCACGATTTTTTTGTCAGCAAAATCAAATGTAAAAGTTTGGGTTGGAGGATGACTAGAAGAGACAGTTCCTGAATCCGTAGTTTTCCATTTATGTTTTGTAATTACTTTTACATCTTTGTGACAAGAGTCAAGGTAATCAAAGAATTCAATTTCTGATTCAATTTTGTGCATTGTTTTAATCCATTGGACTTGAATTTCTTTTCTTTGTTGTTCATTATATTTTTTAAAGAATTCTTTATTTCTAAGTTTATTCTTAACCTTCCTATTTTTTAATTTAGCTATGTCTGGTAGAAATAAAGTACTAGGTTTTGTATTTATGACATAGAGTTGATGACTTAAATCTGGATTAGGCTTAAGACTTTCTAGATCAGAAGCAGTGGGTGATGGAGTAAAATCATCTTCCCTATCCCTTTCTTCTTCTTCCTTAAACCTAGAATATGTATTAACTAAAGGAGGTTTGTGAGTATAATGAGGTCTGCTAAGGTGTGGAGATGACTCATTATCTACTCCTTTCATTTTATATTGTTTTTCAAGTTGGTTAATCCTGAATTGCAGTTCTTTTGCAATTTCTCTATCTCTCTGGGATATAGTAGAATCAACATCTGATCTTCTTCCTTCATTAATCCTAATAGGTTCATTAAATCTACAGGACCTATGGGATCTAGCTGAATCGAAGGAGATCCTAACCATTCCATCAGAAAGTTGCTGGATAGTTTCTAGATTGGTAGATGTTGTTTCTTTGTCTTTATCATGGTTCTCATTAGTGACGAGCCATGATTCTGGAAGTTCAATGTCCTTCCATTGAAGTCTTTTGGGGACTTGGACATTAGCCTCACTGGTACTAGGTTGGATTAACAGAGTACTTTCTTTAGGGCTTTTCTTTAATGCGTGTACATTCATGTTGGTAGTTATGCATTTGTAATAGACTCTATAGATTAAAGCTAAAGAAGCAGTTTCTTTTACTAAGTCTAAGATTTGTCCAGAGAGTTTGATTCCTAAGGTTAAAGCTTTAGGAGTATGCTGGCAATGAAGACTTAATGTAAAATCAGGGAAACAATTAAAATATACTGGTCCTTCATGAAGTCCAGCTTCCATTATTCCTAAAATGCCATTTTTATAGGTAATAAATCGTGCATCTCTTAGGGATAATAGAACTGCAGAATTCATGCCATCGGTAGTCAGGGGCTTTATAGCTACCTGGACTAATCCTAAATGAATAAAATTAAATCCTTCATTTCTGTGGATTTTCAATTCTTCTTTGCTTAAGAGTTGAACTTGTTCTTCACTATTTTTTAATGCATGAACTTGTTCAATGGTTCGTACTTTTAATTTTTCACTGAAAGTTCTGGGGATCCAACTAGTTTTGTAAATTTCTTTGTGTGGTACAGAAGGGATATTCCATCCTGTCCAGTCTACATTTTTATTTTCACATTCATAGTTTTCTTCATTCACTATATTAGGTATAGTACTAGATGAAGATCTAGATGAACTAGCTGTGGAATTAGATCTGAATAACCTATTCATTTTTAAATTATATATATATATATATATATATATATATATATATATATATATATATATATATATATATAAGATGATGAGTAATATTAGAAAGATAGAGTTTTTCAAGTTTTTTGGAACAATTTATTGAAAAAATAAATGATACATATTTTTTTAAGAGTAATATAGTTAATCAAAAAATAAATATTTATACATAAAGAATAAATAATTAAAAGAGATGTTATAGTTATTTTATAGATTTAAATATATAAGAATATGATAATAACTTAGATATTTAATTGTGAAATGATAGAGTGGTCTTTACAATCTTTTATAAGAGTAAAATAGATATTCAAAAGTTTTTCATCTAATATACTTTTATTAGGAGTATAGATATCGCACTCTATACTATACTATTTTTTATAAGAGTAAAATATTATGCGTACTTTAACTAATCTTCTGGTCGATCCAATTTGGTAAGAGGACTTCATTAAAATTGGATGAACACAATTTCTATGCATTGTATGACTTTTCAGATCTTGAGTTGTCTGTTTTTAGGTTTCATTTGTTTATACACCGTTTTATATTAAGACTTACGTTCCTTTGTCATTAGATTAACAGTACACCGCATTATTAGTTAAGACTCTGCTATTAAATCAATAACTATAATACAGACAAATTAATTTTTTTTTTTTGATCAAAAACAAATTAAATTCAAATAACAATTTATCGAATATTAATATAGTAGATAGATTATTTTCAGACATTTATTCTAACTTCAATAATGTGACATACATTGACTAAGTATAATCAAGATCCAATAAATAAAAAAAATAGTACCATGAACGAGGCTCTCGCCTTTGACTAGATATGTAAGAATTAGGGAAAATATTTGAGTAGTAATAATTTTTACACATTTAGCCGTAACAATTTATGTGGCTAAAAGACTAATTTCTTATGGCCGACATCGACAGTGACACGTTAAATCAGAAAATTTAGTTTCAATAATATTTTCCTAAATCAAAAGTAAAAATACTTGATCTACAAGCTCTCAACCTTTTCCTTTTCTTTAAAAAAAGTTTTACCACCTCATAAACACAATCTAAGAATAAAACTGATAAAAAAACTGTTTTTCGGTACTCAAAACACAATTTAGGAATATTGTTACTGTAGGATTTAGAGTGTCGTGGAAATACTATTTTTGCAACTCGAACCTTGACACTCAAGAATAACTTTGCGGTTGCGTCAAGTCCAACCCTCAAACATTGTCAAAGAATGAAAACTGAAAATTCACTGCATTCAATCAGCCAAAGTCTTCAGAATTATTAAAAGACTAAGTCAAAGCCATAAGGCCCCAGCTTCTTTTAAAATGGGCACCAACTCACCAGAGATATGAGTGGCCATGACTCTTTCTATCCCTCCAAACAGCTTCCCACCAACGAAAACCGCCGGAAACTTTAGCCGGCCGTCGTTCCCTTTACCGTCATCGCCTATAATTCTCAACAATTCGCCGATAACAGCAGCTTCATCTTTCTCATCAACATCAAAAATGGTGGGGTTGACACCAAGCCCTAGTAGTAAACTTTTCACAACATGGCACATGCAACATCCACGTCGGCCAAACACTATCACAGCATTCTCTGACACCTGCTTTTCTACACTTGTGACACTGTTACTATTACTTTTCCCTGTGATGGTGGGAAGGTCGCCGGAGCTTCCTGTGGCTGTGGCGGTGGAGGGAAGCCAAACCCCGCAGGGGAGTTCTCGTTGCATGGTGTGGAATAGAGAGAGAGAGATTGGAAAGGGGTGGTGGTGATTTTATGAACTTCATGGGTGGGGAGTAGGCTGTCTTTAACGTCAATGGGTGTGACGCAATGTTGGACGTCACTTTTACTGTTGAACGTGTCACTACGTCATTAATTTGAATTTTTTTTAATATTTATATATATTAAGAAGGTAGAGAAAAATTTAAACCATTGACCTCATGAATTCACAAGATAATAAGTATCATTAGAGTAAAAATTTATTGGTACATTAATTTGAATAAGATTATGATATATTTTCAATATTATACCAAAAAATAATCGAACCATAATAAAGTAAAAAAATATAAAAGTGAGGTATTTATTTTTTGGTGTTGTGCCATTTTTTAATTTTTTTTAATGTAACGGTCAAGGATGTTAAATTAACTTACGCGCACGTCAACTAATTCATTCTCAGTCCGATTAAAGACAAATCATTCATGTCGAGAGTAGGATATTTATGAGAAATAAATTCATTATAACCTGACTACAAAAAATTATCAAATTTTAAACTCAAAACGACTAAATTTACAGATCATTCCTATTATCACTTGAGTTGTCTTCTAGTTTTTTTTTTTTTTTTTAAGATGACCTTTTATTTGAATATAGGGGAAAAAAAGTCAAACAAATAGAAAACAAAAACTTTCTTTTAATTTGCAATTTTTCTTTTGGCTTGACAATAATAGAGACCGTTGAAAATAACAGTCAATGATTGAGATTATCTGATCTAATTTTTAAATTCATGTAGCATTACTCTTATATTAATTACTTTTGTAAGTTTTACTCTTGTCTATTAAATATTTCAAATGATTTGTTGGTGAATGATTACATAAAAAATAAATGTGATTTTAGATAAAATCGTCTCATAAAATTTTACTAAACCCATAAAAGATTCATTTATAATCATGTATAAGTGGGTTTATATATTACATAAATATTGTAAAATCGATTTTATAATGATTTATTTACTAAATGAATGTGATAGATTAATCTTGGTATAATCAAATTAGTTCACAACAAACAACTGCAGGGATGTTGACCACCGCTCTTATCTGTCGGTCTATGACCTTTAGTTTTTCTTGTGCATATTTTAATTATTTTCTTATTATTTTATTAATGATAGTGAAATTCCGTCGTAAGACTTACAATAATAAATTTTTTGGTATTTCGATAAAGAATAACACCTTCTTCTGACCTTATTCGATTGGTGTTAATATGAAAAAAAAAATGCTTAATTTCTAAGTTAAGATTAGGCGATCTCTTGCTCCTGTTCTTCTAACTCGTTGTTCTTGTTAGATGAGTTCTATCTCAGAAGACAGTCAATCCAAATCCAAAAATAACTGTCTGCTTCACTTAAATTCCCGCCCTCAGTCTAAATGGACACGCTAATTGGCACTATATTTCAAGGGCTGGGAGGTTTATACACTAGTGGTTCTCTCCATTAAACCCTAATTTAACCTTGCACACTATAACAATTAAGTTTTTGTAGTGAAAAAATAAATTCGTATTTCGTCACTAAAAAATTTCAGCGATGATTCTTCTGATGTCACTAGGTGATCATTTGTCGCTAATTTAAATGGATTGCTACCTCACATGTTAATGATCCACGTTAAATGGAGCATATGAATGGATGCGTTGAAGTTGGAACATTTTGAAGCGGACAGAACCTTCTAAATTAGAACCAACAAAAATCCATCGAATAATGGTCCCAAAAAAAATATTAAAACCCATTATTAATTGAATAATAATAAATAAGTAAATTAATAAATTCTGTACGAATAATATTTCTTATAGAACATTTTTGTTCAAAGATGGCCGAGAAAAAATCTCGAAGATAATTTAAGTGATAACAGAGACGAGCTGTCAACTCAGATTTTTTGAATTCAAATCTTGACAATTCTTTGATTATTCTCTGTGAATAATCTAATTCTGACGTAGATAATTTATCTTTAATTAAATCGATGATGAGATTAATAAAAATGTGTGTAAATTGACCGAGACACACCAAAAAAAAAATATGAATGAGAAGTGAGAAAGGTGGCGCAATTTTCGTGGCTGATTTGCAAAAGTTCATGGGTTATGGGCCCACAAACCTTAAGGAATCCACTCCACCGACCCTATGATGGTGGAAACAGTGTGACCATTATTTTAGTCAAAAGTTTACACAATTATTCCCTCTTTTTCCACCCAAGGTGTGGGACCCATCAAGTCCAAATAAAGATATTTAAAATTATATAGTATTCGATAAGCTATTCAAAAGATTAAGAGTAGGCCTTTCGTGAAATTGCGGAAAATAAATAAAATGATTAATCTCAATTTGTACTCTGAAATATCGTTCAAATATTAATTTATACTCTTAAAATTTTAAAATATCAATTTATATTCTGAAAGATACAAACTCGTATTAATGTGCACATAAAATTAATTCGATCCATTTTTTTGTTAAAAAAACTTGGGTTTATTATAAATTATACCCTCCGAGTTTAAATATTTTATATTTATGATTTAAAAAAAATTTCATCTATTAATGGATGAAATTTTTTTTGGATAATAAATATGAAATATTTAAATTTTGAGGGGTATAATTTATAATTTATCTAAACTTTTTTAACTGCAAAATAGATGGATGATAGTTTCAGGTGCCCATTGATACGTATTTATATCTTTCAGGGTATAAATTAATATTTTTAAACTTTGAGAGTGCAAATTGAGATTCAAATGATCTTTCAGGATGTAAGTTCAAATTAGTCTTAAATAAAATGAAGATCAAGTACTTTTGTTCATATCTATGTGCACCAAATTTGTGTACCTAAATTTACATCAAATCAAATGCAATAAGACACACTGATCCAACGCCTATAAGTGATTTGATGTAAATTTTAGTGTATATTTTTTGTGCACATAGTATTATTCATAGGTATTATGTGATAAATTTATAATAAAAAAATACTTAACAATTTAGACGTTGTCTGTTTGAGGTAACACATAAAAATATATTCAATAATTCACTGACTAAAATAATATAATTAAAATATTATGGTCAAAATGAACACTTTTTATACTTTGGGGACTTTCAAATGCCTAAGACCAGGTCTTTCATGAAATACTGAAAAAAGATTAGTTTATGACTGCAAATATGAAATAAATAAAATGTGTAATGGAATAAGTTAAAATTAAGGGGTTGACAAAGACACAGTTCCTACTAACCCAATAGGGGAGACTAAGCAAGGTCTTATCTCTAAATATGGTTTTGAAATATATATATAAAATATTATAACTAAGAAGTATATATAGATTATAAGTAAGAAGTTGAATTTCTACTTATAAAATACAATAATGACTACGTGTATTAAAAGTTTGCTTTGAAATTATTAATTTAAAAGACTCGTGGATTGAAAAATTTTCCCATCAAGAAAAGAAGTGAAAATATGAAAATACAAAAATTAATGGTTATTTTGTATTCTTATCCAATTTAATCGGAAGATCAAAAACTCTTTCACATTCCTATTAAATTTTTTCGACTAGCCATTCAATGAAATCGGGTAAGATAAGAAATTGTGGCTAATCCAAAATTTGAATACCACTGATAAGGACTTTACCTAAATGGGTAAGAATTGAAGTTCTTACCATCTCGCTCCCTACACTTGGTCACTATACTAACTTGGTTTTATGGACCGTACTTTCTCATATATTATCTGTTAAAAAAAAATAATGTTATTTGAATTTAATTTATTGATTTAATCATTTATAATTATTAGATTGGTAGCGGTCCTAGTATATGTTGGAATCCACAATCAATTTGATGGTTGTAACATATTTAAGTTAACAAATTGAGTAATATTATTTAGACATAAAAATCTGACCTAATTTATTGACATAATGATGTGACTTTAATAGAACCATTAGATCAACACCACGTTTCAATGTTTGATGGGCTTCATAGTTAATCTAAAGGTCACAGTGAATTAGGTCAGTAAATTAGGTCCCAATAGCATTGCTCTAACAAATTATGTCTATAATTTAAATTCAAATAATATTATTGGGAAAAAAATATCTTATATATTCATGAATGAACTTCACATTAGCACTTCGGCTTTGAAAAAAACAGAGGCACTCGGCTTGCCAATCAATATGGGTATTAGGGTGGGCCGGTTAGTTTTACAGCCCAAGTAGAGGTGCAAAATGAACCGGGCTGGCACGGGTTGAATATGGCATGGCAAGACACAAGCCAGTTGCCACATGTGAGGCCCATAAATCCAGCCCATTAGTGCTGGCACAGCACGGGCATGGCTAAGGCACGCCCAATAAAAAAATTTATTGTGAGGATTTGGCCCAAAATCACAAATATGTGTCTCCCAAAAACTATATCACAATTACTTTGAGGAGTAAATTTATTTTTATATCTATGCCTGTGACCTATAAATCTTGGATGGTCTTATGTGTTAATAACCCAAAAAATTGTAATGAATATTTATTTACTTTGTATTAAAGAACATATTCACCTTCTTTAGCTGAGAATATAGATGTATTTCAAATTTCATTAAAATAAAATAATAACATAAAGCAAATTTTCAAATAGCATGGCCTTGCAACCCACCACAAATATAGGCACAATTCAAACACGAGCACAACATAGCACGATCATGAACTAGACTCCCAATTGCACGACTCCAACACGGTCCGAAGTGGGGCGTGCTAGAGCACGACTAAGCACGAGAATATGATTCAAAAATCTTAAAACTTATTGGGTACATAGATTATTGATATTTAATAGTGTAAATTTAGAATTTTAAAAAATAAATCACTACACATATATGTTAGAGAGTATTACTCTTCAACATCACATAACTACCTGTAAGAGACTCCACCACACTTAGGTTGGAATCGAAACCAAGACTCACCGCATGTTTCGAGTGCTAAAGAGAAGGTAGAAGGTAGGTGCTATAACTATAACACTTTAAACCCAAACATATAG